CATACGACCTCTGCTCTGTCCTCAAAAAAATATGAGAAAAAAAATCACAAGATTTGTGAGGTTGAATCTGACGAACATACCTCTTGTTTAGCTTAATTTTCGAGTGATATTATTTATATTGAAGTTCAACAAAAAAAAAATTGCATAACTCTCCGGACCCTAAAATTGATATGGGAACACTAGTAGGCACTACTCTACATTTAGAGGTATTAATGGGAATGCCTATTTCTCTTAGGGCTAATATATTGACAATTGCACGGGAAATGTTTATGCCAAAAAATATCTTCCTATCGCAACTTTCCTCCGGTTCAGGTAATGAAGGACGAAATAATCCACAAATTTTAATGAAAATATATGTCATCTCAAAAACATACTACACAAGCTTCATATAAATATATGCGGCGATTTTGTGATGCATTTCAGGTCACAAGCAAAAAATCATCGCCCTAATGTTGGAAATTCGACTCAAGACGACTCTGACTGCAGCTGTCAAGGCCTCTGTCCAAAATAAATTTTCAACTTCCATTTTGAACCACAATGTATTTTAAATGCATTCATGTTTTGAAGATTAGAAAGATGACGATAACTTCACTTCCAGTGCTATTTTCATTTTGCTAAAATATCAGCTTCGTAAGTAGATCCTATTAATAAGGTTCAATCAGTTTGCAATTACTTAAATTGATTAAAATGTCATACAATATTCAAATCTCGTTCGACTTGTCAAATATCCTGTAAGTCATTTAGATATGAGCCTCTAACTAAAAGTTTCATAATCTGCAAGCTTGTGTGAATTGGAATAAATTTACACAAAATTATAAACGTATAGATGCAAATGGAAATATGTGTGTATGTATTTCAATATAATATAAACTAAATCAAATAATATAGTACAGCTTAAACTTATAATTAAATGTGATGTTGTTACACAAAGTAAAGGTAATCCATTTACATGTAGCTGTCCCTCTCTCTCTCTCACGCTGTGTGAGTGTATGTGTCACAATCCTGTTATGCGATCCGTCAATCGTTTTATTGAAAATATACAAATACAAAATTACATATTACAACTAAAATAAAAAAAAATCCTACAGTGGCAAATATTTCCAATTAATTTGTGAAACAATTTCCCATCGAGTCGTTGACAATCGAATTTGATTTACATCGAACCTTAGCGCCAAATACGGCTACCGCAAACATATCCAGCAGTTAAGTAATTGAACGTTGAAACCTGTCCGGGAACAATAACAAATTCATTATTAATTTGTTGCAATCAAATGGCGCCATGCACCACCGCAGTTAGTAATAGCCATTAAATTGATGTTAATTAATGCCATAAACTGGCGCTAGATCAGCTCAACTTAGCTCAGGCCAGCTTTTGAGTGAAATAGATATTTGATATTTCAAATATCGCCGATAGCTAACAAAATGCCAGTTGACACTTGCAATGAAACTATTCATACGTTATGATGATGAATTCTTGAATCGTGAACAATTTAATTGCTGTCAATTAGACATTACACAGGGCAACAAGAAAATAGTTTCACAAACTTGGTTCAAGGGAAAATGTCCAGGATTTTGAAAAATGTCGATCATTGGTACTTCTCTTAATATAAATTTATTATTCTCCAAGTCTGTGGTTGAAGAAGATTTAGCCTTCCACTCTGGCTCTTTATTTTTTCGATTTTAAGTCCTCTACCCCTACTCTTATCAAAGACATAAAATCGTAAAGACTTGAAAAATTGAAAAATGCATTTCGAACAAATGGTGTGTGGCTATAATATGTAGTGTACCAGCTGATGACATAGGTATGTTAATAGTAAAAATACAAGAATACAGAAGCATGACAAATATCATTGAATATGGACCTAAATATAGGTCTTTGCTCTTGTATACTTAAAGGTCAGTGCTCTTTGAGGAAGTGCTGGCCCTCTTCGCGACTTTTTAAAAAAGTAATAAAATTAACTCTTTATAATTAAGACCAATATTCTACAGACATTTATTTGCAATTTGTTGATCAGTGTAATTCTAATTGAGCTAACTTATTTTTTTTTACGCCATCATAAACATTAATGCCTGTTGCAAAACACCAAACATTCACAAAACAGTTCTATAATCGAGCAAAGCTAAGCACTTAATTATTATGATTTTAGAATAATTAAAGATTAAAGATCTGGTATAACCTTCATTAGAGTATAAAACAATTAGCAGTCCGTCACAATACTACTGGGCCACTTTAACCAATGCAAATGGGAATTTAATGAAGATTTTAATCTGGGGAAATTATAAAAACCATATAAGCGCCATTGCTGCAGAGTTAGCGGATAAATCATTAACATTAGACGCCTTACTACAGTTCTTATTTAAAATGGAATAAGTGTTGAAAAAATTATCATCATCAATCGTGTTCTGTTAAAATATATATTGAGAAGTCAGAGCAGCATATATGATGTGATATATAAGGACCTTTAAGTACCTAATAACTTATATAGGAGACATAAAAATATCAGTACTAATTTCCAATTAGCTTGGCAGGCATTATTTTGGACTTGGAAGATATAACGCAATGGATGAACAATGAATACAAAATCGGCTATATTCAACTCTGAATCGTTTATAAATAATATCTGTGGCCAACCAAGTTAACTTTTAAAATGTTATCTCAATTTGACAGTAAGTGGGAAAGGAAGTGTGACCTATACTTCATTCGCAAAATTTCAGGGACATACGAACGAACGGACGGTCCACCATCTAACGTTTTTTTTTTAACTAGCGTTTATTTCTTGAACGGCAATACTTAGATCATGTCTGTTTAAAAAGAAAAAAATAGTTATATTCTTCCGCTGAACGAATATGGTTGTGTATACGCTGGAACAACGCTCTAAAAAAGAGCGATATTAAAATCACTATAATGTGTGTTAAAATTGGGCACGGATTTGGGATGAAGGTAAACACCGTCAGCTCCGTATGTAAACAAGTAAAATTGTCGCATTTGGGCACAGAAAAACTACATTCATACATTGTAAAGCCGATGCATCTAAAGCGAGTCACTGTTTGGTGCGGATTTGGTCCTGAGATATAATTTGCCATTTTTTTCTTCAAAATGAGCCAAGAGTGGCTGTTCCGTTATCGGGTCGTGTTGAACAATTTATTTGTTCATAAAAATTATAGAGGAGGGTATTGGCAACGTTTAGAAAGGCTTTTATCAGTTGATCACCTTAGAGCTGTGATTTGACACCGTTGGACTATTATTTGTCGGGTGCCTTCAACGATAATAGTTAGGCCGTCAAGCCAGAGGCGCCATTTGTGGACGAGCCATTAGTGAAACACATACAAGCACGCAATCGATAATGTTCTTAAAAAGTTGGATCGTGTGTGTAGGCTACTGTATGGCCAGTCGTGGCAGCCATTTTTTATTGCATTTTCAAAAAAAAAAAAAAAAAAAAAAAAAAATGGACCTTTTCGGAATATCCTATCAGCAAAAGCTAATTTGAGCCTACTCGTCTCTTCTCTTGGTACCTGCTTTACCTGGCCACATAAATTAACGTAAAGTAGCTGAACTTTAGAACCTGGAGCTAGAACCAGATTAGCTGAACCCAAACACAACATGTACAATTGTTACAGCAACAACGTAAATTAGCGTCAGTGGCACCTATGGAATAGTAAGAATATTTTCAATACAATATCTCAGTTTGCTCGTCGAAACCAGTGGTATACTTGTAAAGATATGCACCATACAATTGGGGTTTTTACAAATTATGGACCTTTTTACTCACCAACGCCCAAATATATGGATTTCCTACATTTTACCCTTTCAATATTTTGGAGTTTATTTCAGTCGAAAACCAATTTGGAGACAATCGGGATATATGGAATAATGCTTACATAGTCTTAAGAAATATGAAGATAACTTACTGCAAGGCACGAAATATTATCAAATACAGAAACAGAATTGTCGAAAGTTGTTTTTATTTTCGTATGGCGCCATATAATTCGTCCAACATCCAAAAATATAGAAATCCTAAATTTTCACATTTTACCCTCTGTCGGAGCCAGGAAATTTGGAGACAATTGGGTCCATAATGGTGCACTGCCGCTTGATATATGGAATAATGCATACCTAGCCTTAGGCAATTTGAAGATCGCTTCCTGCAATGGACGAAAGAGAAACAAGTCTCTTGTATTATCAAATTCCGAAATAGAATTGTTGAAAGTTGTTTTAATTTTCGGTTCATTAAAAAATATGGCGTTTAACACTGGTTGGAAGATAGAGAAGTTATCAGAAAATGTTGCTGGAACAGTAGAAGGAAAAATTAAACAATGCATTATTAAGGTATTCCTGCATCAAAGTCAGCATAACGGTTTGCGATAAACTAAAATTTCGAGAATGTTCTGAGGTTTCAAATATATGAAATATTGAAGTCTATCGTCTTCAACAACGCCAATATACAAAGTTTATACTCCAAAATGGCGTCACTGAGTACTTTTAACTCATTATATATAGTACAAAACCCTACGCATTAACCCAAAGCCAGGTCCAAAAATGCAGGAAATTTAAACACACATAGCTGCCTCACAGAAGACTTATTGAAAAATTTGTTATGTGCCAAAAAGGCTGATAAAAATGATGTAGGAATTCCAAAAATTTGTAATGCAAAGATCCATTAACCAGTTTTAAACCAAGATTTTTTTAATTCAATATCATATGGGTACTTTAGTTGGTATTCAAATCAAGACCGATAATGAAAAAGAGAATTTAAGTATTTTGCAATCAAATCAAAAGAAATTGTTATTCGAAAAATTCAAAATTGCATTAAAAAATGCTATGGCCAGCAAAAGCTAATATGCAGCTATGAACAATGCAGTTAAATTAAAATTACTCTATACTGCAAAAAACAAAAAAGTATTGCCACTGTAGCTTTGAATAAAATTACTTGTGATTATTTGTCGATTTTTTTTCAGGATTCTTTGTAAACATGTTTATGTATAAAATAAGATCTAAGAGATTGTTTTGTTTCACGTATATTCTAAATGCAGATTCGTAGACAAAAACTTACTAAAATGTAAGGAGGGTAGGGTAATAACAGTAAATACAATACTAATAATTATAATTAGTAATAATAGAAAACTACAATATTTCATATACAGATATAAAGATTAATAGGAGGGAATTCAAAAGATATGCTGTTGCTTTTCTGTTGTAAGAACACTGATTTTGCTGTTGTTTTTCGTAGATTTTTTGTTTGTCTTCTTTTTTTTCGTTTGGTTTTCTTCTTTCAATGTATATCCGTATATAATTGATTATTTTTAATATTGGTATATTAAATTGTTTAGAGTAGATGTTGTTTTCAAGAACATTGCACCAATAGTGGTTTCTTTATCAACTTTTAATTATTTTTTATTAATTAATTATATTTTATTTTTGTATTCTTTGACTCAAAGTTTTATATTCTTCTCGTTTTGTAACATTACTTAATTTCGAAAAAGTCTAAATTTATAAATAATATAATTTTTATTCAATAATAATAATAAATTTTTATCTTGGATGATGTGGGGGTTTTCACGTATAATACTTTAAGTTAATGTTTGTTGTGTTTTTTTTTTTTTTTTTAATTAATAACATTAGTTGGGCGCTGAAGTTCTAACGCCTGCTACAAGGTCCAACTACCATTTATATCTGAAATATCCGACAACTTATTACAAAAATGTTCCTATGTGCGGAATTGTTGTTGGCGTTTCGTCGATTTAGCTTCGTTTGTTGTTATTGTGTGAACGCTCATTAATGGCAAAAGGTTCGAGCTTTTGGCCATTTAAATGTAACTCTAGTATGAGGCTCACCAATCAACCGTGTCCATTGAGTCTTGTCGTTCTTCACGTCGCGGACAGCGGCCCACCTTTTTCATATATGTGCCATACTCACAGGTGGGCAGCTTGCAACGACCCTCCAGAATACATCTGCAGAAGAGAAGAGATAAAAAATGAATTTAGTAACTGTTTCTAACTATTTCTTCCCTGCATGGTCCCTCACCCAAATACTTACTTTCTATCATTCATGGAGAAATGTTCCATGCCACGTTTGAGCCAATCACAGCCCATATTGCCCGACGAACAGTCACATCGACAAAAACCATCCTCTTGCAGAATTTTCTCAAACAAATTGGGACAATTGCAGTTCAGAATGGTGGCTCTTCGCAGATAGGGTATGTGATTCGAGGCAATTTCCGAAGATGCTTCGTCGGCTTCATACAGAGCTGAACGCTGCTTCGCTTTGTCCACACAATGACATTCTGTGTGATTGACAAATGTGAGTTTTTCTATTGAGCCCTGGGTTTCGTTGAGGGTTATGACCTGCAAAGGTAAAAAGTAAGCAACAAAATATATTAGAATTAAAATTGTATAGAAAAATATTTTTAACTGTATTGAATAATAACATCAATGATTGTTATCGAATAATAACACTGTGCGGAACAATTTCAGCAGATTGTGAAAGAAGAGCTAAAAAAGTATTGACATGTATCGAAGTTTTAAATAAAACGTTCTTTCCGGATTTGCATAGTTGAAAAAACGGGTTATCCTTCTCTTTCTGTGCAGTAAATATTTTTATTGAAAATTTTGACCATTTGTGAAGGATGTTCCTTCTGGTATTGTCCATCTCCGAACTCGATCTAATTTTGATAATAATATTACGATGCACCGAGTTTGGACCAAATCGGATACTCTCTTTAAGAGTTATCGTACGTACCAGCAAAGCATACGGACATCGCTAGATCGACTCCGAATGTCCTGAAACGGATTTGGTCCAAAGAGACCTAGAGACCTATAGCCCTATGACTGAGGGCACAAAAAGCTTTAATGATGAATAATTTGTCCATTCAAAATTTTAAGAACGTTGACCAGGAAAAAACGACCCTGAATATGAAAGGGCGTCCATCAAACTCTATTTACATCAAGCATCTTGCGATCGTCAGCAACATTTTTTACTAAATTATTCAAAATAAAATTAATTTTCCATCAATATCATGAATATAATGTAAAATAAACTAAAATTACTCTAACATTATCTTTATGCATTAGTTCCTATAAATGTTAAAGCAATTTCATTGGAAGATTGAGTAATAGATAATGTCAAAGTTTGACAGTTTTTCTAATTAAAATGAATTTCGAATTCCATTCAAATCACTAGAGTAAGCAGTTCTAATTCTTGGAATTTTACAACTTCAGATCGTTCTATGAATTCATATGCCTTTGTCGAACAAATAAAAATAAAATAAACTTTAACTTTTGTATTGGCGCTTGCTCCGTGGCAATGCAACAACAATGAACTCATAAAAGCGTCACCAGCTGTAGTAGCTTTAAATAACAACAACAGCAGCAGCAGCAACAAACAAAGCAATTAATTTGCATACGAATTAAGGCATTTTGATCTTTTAACCGAAAGAATGAATGACAACCCGACCAGCAGGCCGCTAGACCCACCATCATTCAATGGCAACAAAACCACAACGCCACAATCAATAAACAATGTAAACGAGGAGTCAGTCATCCAGCCTGCCAGCCAGCCAGCCAGCACTCGTAAATGAATCTCAAATTGTTAAAAAAAAGAGTTCCATAAAAAAGTGTATCTGTTTTTCATTTTGATGCAGTGCTTGGCTGGCTGGCTGGCTGACTCGCGCTGGTTGCATATCCACCATATGAGCTTCATAAACATTTAATGAATTAATTATGATGAGTGTGCCATATAAACAAAATTGGACAACTGAAAAGAAAAAAAACTCGAAACAAGAGCACTCACAAACTGTCCAAAACAGACACAAAGTTGTAACATTCGGATATTGAAAATCATAAAAACTTGTAAAAGCATTGAGCGACAATAACAACAATGTTTAACAGAAATTGGAAAGCCATATAACGCACGCATCCCACTCCAGCAAAACCAACGGTTTTCCATTCAAAGATTGACCCAAATGAAACGATTTTTTTGAGAGAGGTAAAAGTAAACGGATTTTCTTCATGGAAATTAAATCGAATGATAATGACAATATCTCGTCATTGCATGCTCAGCTATCATTTCCCTCCCCAAATGTCCTCATGTGTGAACACATATGGATGGATATCCCTCTAAAATTTCTCTTGAAATTTGAATCGCTAAGCGCCAATAGATGGATTTTCTTGCTCATCTTCATCATGGACGTGCACTTCTACTCCAAAAGAAATATTTATCAGATGGCTTTTAATGGCATCGATGATAGGAGCTGCGTGTAAATTTATTTTCTGTTACCATTTGCATGTCGAAGTGTGGAAAATGATTTCAGAGGAGACATCACATTGACACCCAGACACTCCATCAACTGGCTTCCGTACACACAGGAGGCAAAAGCACGAAAAACTGAAACATTTGCTGCTAATGATGCTGTTAATTTGCATTAAATTACCAATGACATATGGGTACAAACAGGGACGATTTATTTGTGTTTCTTTTTTGCTCCGCAACAGGGCCTTTACTAATAAATAATGTATCTAAAATTTAAGGGAAGCATCGTTGATGAGAAAATTCCAGAATTCAAAATTATATATATTCATGAAACTTGGGAATGTCTAAATTGTACCAACGCACAGTATAACCTGATTTTAGCAAAGTTCATTGAAAAAAATCTAAAAAAAAGATTATGAACTCAGTTTTCAAAACAAGGAATATTAGTCCCCGGGCAAAAAAGAAATGAAGGAAAGCCTATTTTATTGTAGTTCAGTTTACATGGTGAAATAAAAAAACTACAACAAAGTCAAACGCCATAAATTTTACATTTTTTTTAAATTTTATTGAATGAAAGGAAAAAATGTCGGAAATAGCATCAAATTTTAGATATGTTCGAATTGGTCACCTTAGACATGAATTATGGATTTAAACGGCCAATGAAGCCGTCACACGCTGCCCGAATGTTGCTCTGCAGTATTTTGGCTGTGATATTGTTTAGTGCCAACTTTGCTTTCCAAAATACTTCAGACACAATAGGCCATTACTGTAAATGAAGCGAGGAACCTAATTTTGTAACCATTCTTGGGTGGCGCGTGCTGAGTCTTGTTGGAATGTCCAAAGTCTGCGGCCAAAATGTTTGCGTGCCCAAGGCTTAAATACACCCTCCAGAATATGTTCGCGATAATATTTGGCATTTATTCTGATGCCACGGTCGATTGATACGAGCGGAGAGCGACCATCGGCTGTTATGGAGGCCCACACCACGGCGCTTGAGTCCTGGTGACCAACCGAAGGTGCACATTTTCAGCTGACCTCTTTGGGAAGTAAACACGATCCACTTTCGGCCAAGCGACGCATCTATTTAGCCCTTTTGAGCCTGTTTTCTTTTTGTTGCGGTGCAAGTTTTTGCACTTTTTGGAATTTCAATGGCTTTACCCCGAGCTCATGTTTCAATATTTGCCGAATGGAATTGCGATATGTTCAGCTCACGAGCCATTTTTCGGCTACTGCGACGCGGGTTTCGATCAAGTCGCTTCTTTACTTTTTGAACCATTTCTGCTGATGTTTCTGTTTTCTTCCGTCCTCTTCCATGACCACCACAACTACTAGTATCACGGTAACGAGCGATTGTACGAGACACAAAAGATTTATTCAGATTTAAATGCAGGAGTGCATTTGAGTAAAGAAATCGCTTGAACGCTTGAATTCCATCACGAATAACTTTTTTCTGGAAAATTTTACCAAAATGCTTTTATAAGCTTGTAAACAATATAATGAGCTGTCACTGGAATAATTTTAACATCTGTCGGACCAGTACCTAAGTAAAGACAGCAGTCTCAAGTTTGTTGCAGTTTTATCTCACCCTGTATATTGCAAGCTGGTGGCATATGGCTACAGAGGGTTCATATCAATCATACGGCCAAAACGTGCCTTATCAAAATAATGGTTTCAGGATATTTGGAGTCGATTTAGGGGTGTCCGTATGGTTGGCTGATGCTCACGATAACTCTCGGAGGGAGTATCTGATTCGGTCCAAACTCTATGCATCGTAATGTTATTACCAAACTTAGATCAAGTTCGGAGAAGGGAAATATCGGTCCAGTTTTTATGGTGCTTCCCTACTAAAGGTCAAAATTTTCATAATTTATCCAATAGAACAGGAAAGGATCATCCCATTTCGTTCAAATTTTGTAAATCCCAATATTCGTATCAGTGCTATTTCAGGTACGAAAACAGGCAATATCGGCATCAAGTACATCCACGAAAGGGTCAACAATTGTGCATAAGTATAGCTCTTATAAAATGTGAGATAAGAATCCAATTTCTTCGAATTTCACACATCCCGATATTTTTTATTAAAAAAAGATCTGTTGTGAAGATGGAACATATCGTGCCACTCCTTCCGGTACCGGTAAGTAAACAAGTAATGAGTAATGTTGGTAATGTTAATTAAATAAGATACCTAAGTTTCAGGATCAGTATCTAATGGAGGCCCCTTGCCACAAGGTATGATCCTTGCTTAAGTTGCAAATTTGACCCTGTCTTTGACTCCGTAGCCAGCACGAGTAGTAATAAGTCTGTTTACTTTATGTCTGCCATTATGTGGACAATATCTGTCAAACATATGTTAAAAAGAAAACAACAACAAAAAACCTACAAAAGTTGAGTCCAGTGTTGTTTGCATGTTTCTCGTAAAGATCTTCTGCTGGTGGTGTTCGTTTTAGTTGGGTTTGTCATCTGTTTGCCATTTTAATTTTGCCTCATGAATATATCAGGCAATGGAACTGGTGGTGGTGGTGGTGATGTTACTGGTGTAGAGAAGCTTGTAACTTTTCCTTTGTGCTCAGCAAACAGCCTGATGACTGTCACACAGTTTCGTGTCATATTTTGACAGATAAAAATAAGTTCATAAAGTCTGTCAACAGCAGCAGGAGCAGCAGTAGCAGTAATAGTGGCAACATAAATGGACGAAAATGTCTTCATTAAGTGCCACATAATTAAGTAAATTCAGTTGGCTGTTAATGTTGTTGTGGCTGTTAATGTTGTTGTGGCTGTTGTTGTTGTTGCTGCTGCTACTGCTGCTGATGCTGGCGGTGGCAATTGAAATGTAAAAATGCCGTTTTACGAATGGGGTTTACATGGCCGACGAATGCTACTGGAATTGACTTAGTTTTCCTTTGAATGTCTCTGTGAATATGGGCCTGCCTGACGTTGTAATTGAGGCGACCACAGCAACTGGCAATTGACGTAAAGTTTACCACAAAAATATGTAAGAAATCGTGTTTGGTGTCTTTTTATAGGCGTTTGTGTTTCAGTTTGTTTTTTCTCTCTCGCCTGTAATTAGATCCGCGTCTGCCACAAATGTAGCAGAAAA